TATTACTTTTTATTTTTTTTTACAAGAAAAATAAAAAAATGATGCTGTCAAAGTATATTTTATTTTTTTATGCCTTTTTTTTTTTTTTTTGCAAGAAGTACTTGTTATATTACCTTGTATTTTTTTTACAAGAAAAATAAAAAAAATGTTGTATTTTATTTTTAATCTTTATCTTGAAAAGCCTTTTATTTTTTATTTTTTCTAATTTTTTACAATAGTATTTTTTGCCTTTGTTTATTTTTGTTGTCAAAATTTTTTTTTATGCTTTTTGTTTTATTTTTTTGCAAGAAATACTTTTTATATTACCTTGTATTTTTGTTACAAGAAAAATAAAAAAATGTTGTATTATATTTTTATCTTTATCTTGAAAAGCTTTTTATTTTTTATTTTTTAACCTTTTTTTACAACAAAAAAAGATTTTTATTTTTTCTATTTTATTTCAAGCTTTTTATTCATTATCTTGAAAAGCTTTTTATTTTTTATCTTTATCTCTATTTTTTATCTTTATCTTAGAAAAATGTTATATTATATAAACGACAACGCGGGGGAGTTCGAACTCAAGATGCTCGTCTGTAATTCAAGGTTGTCAACCTACACCACAACATTGCCTGATGTGATTCATTAGCTTCTATAATATAATACACATTCAATCATCTTGCTTGAATGGTTTTTTGTGGGAATTATCCCACATCGAAAGATGAGTGACCCTTTGTTCTCTATAAAATGTTTTGTACTAGTCTATTAGTTGCGCATGTAGAAAAAAGAGGAGGGCATACGAGTGAGGTGAATTAGAACATATGGAAGATTTTTAGGTGCCACGCCTCACTCTCGTGCATGGCACCGTGTGAGACTCGCGATTCACTATCTCTCTGGACACGGGTTATTCCTGATTTTTTCATAGAATCGGCTCGATATCGCCTCACTCTCATGAGGCTGCCACTGATTTTTTCATAGAATTGGCTCGATATTGCCTCACTCTCATGAGGCTGCCATGTGTCACTCTGGCGATTCACTATTGGGAATCGCCCGGTTCTCTCTGGACACGGGTGATTCCTGATTTTTTCGTAAAATCGGCTCGATATCCGACAATTCTCGAATCCAACCGGACGAGTCCGGCTCGACTAGACAAGTTTTTAAACGCTGTTCCATATCAATGACCAACGTTCCGTGCAAGGAGAAGCTTGGTGGCAGTGACATCGTGGGACGGCGGTGATTTAAAAGTTAAAATTTTGAAAGCTGTTTTTTTTTTCTTAATCCAAAACGGTTTGGACGATACTCGATTCGAATCGAATCACCGACTTTTCAATTGGGCGAAACAAAATGCCCCAATCACGGCTCTTGCCGATAACGTTTTCAGGCTTGAACGGACAATAAATAAAAAATAGAGAATTCTGTTTTAAACATGCTTGAGGCATGGGTAACAGACAAAACGTGAGTGGCCCCTCGAGCAAGATTGATGATGATATGCATTTGCACTTGTATGCGCTTCCATCATTCAGCACTTAAAGTAGGGTCGTTTTCACTTGCCAATTGAAGACATTGATTTGCCATGTAGATGTGATTGAGAACTCATTCAAGCTATTTATCTCCTAATTGAGTAATCTTAATAATTGAGTAATCTTAATATTGATAATGATAATGATAATAATAATAATAATTTATTATATAAGGGAAAAAAATAAAATAAAAACAGTATAGTGTTCATTAACTCCCTCGAGCAGAGCAACTTGGGAAAATTTATATCATATGAAATTTTAAGATCTGTCAAAGAATCAATAAATGATTATTTTCGAAAAAAGAAATAGATTGAGCAAGGGAGGATTTATGTCATATGAAATTTTAGGATCTATCGAAGAAACAATAGATGATTATTTTTGAAAAAAGGAAATAGATTTTGAGTTTTCAACCCTTACTTCTTGCCCTCCAAAAGGTTAGACGAGCCATATGTTTGGATGTTTTCAAGCACCTCAAGTGTAAGATCTAAAAATTTCTTTTCTCGAAAGCATGGTCCCTCAGGAGCAACCTGTATTTGGATAATAACATTGGCTGAAGATATTATACTCTTGCTGGAGTATACTATCTATTTACACCCTCAGGTAAACCCCACCTAGAATCAATTTTATGACCCAGAATTTTGGGATGCGAAATTTTTAACCCATAGATTAACCTCAATAAAAAAGATTTTCTAATTGCACCTTTTATGCACTTGATAAAACGAATGTCTCGAGATTGAATCAAGATCATTCAATTTTTAGATGTTGAGATCTAAGCATAAGAAAACTCAAATTCAATTTTTTTACTTTTGAGAATAATTATCTAGTGATTCTTAAGTGGGTTCGCAAAATTCACATTCAAAAAAAATTGTCCCAAGTAGAGCTCGTCAAGGAGTAGCAGTAAACTCATAGGAGCATAGTGTACATGTCTTAAATAGAGACCATCAAATTTTTTTAATGTGCTCGAGAAGTGATGGAGTAAGTGTACAGTATTCTCCTACAGAAGCATCTTATTCACAATCCAATCAAACTCTTTATCTTGATGGGAAATGGGCTGAATTAGATGCCAAGAAAACCCTATAAATGGGCCTCCATGAATGAAATTGTGAAAGAACCGCTTGAGGCTCATCAAGCAACGTTTTCCACCTCCCAAATGAATTCTCCAACTCACCTCAACTCACTTTCAGCCCAACATGCCCCAAGTGGTGGGGTGGTGGTGCTAGTGGTCCCCTTCCCTGCGGCGAGCCACCTCAACCAGCTGCTCAACTTTGCCCGCGTGCTCGCGGAGCATGGCCTTCCGGTGGTGTTCGCTTGCTCAGAGACCCACGCAAGACAGACCACTCACCGCTCCGGTGGCTTCAATTGCGCCTCCAACCCGAACCTTCGGTTTCACATCCTCCCCTTCCCGTCATTTCCTGCTTTACTTCCAGACCCAGAGTCCTCTAACAAGTTCCCAGGCCACCTCCAGCCCCTATTTGATGCCACTGAGCACCTCCTTTCTCCACTTACTACCCTGGTGCACGAACTCGCAAGCATTCATCGTCGGGTAGCAGTAATCCATGATGCGCTCATGTCCGTGGCCGCTGGTGCAGCAGTTGAGTGCCTGAATGCCGAGGCGTACAGCTACAATTGTGGCAGCACGTGTGCAACCATATGCTTCCAGAGAGAAGCAGAGGGCCAACAGGAGCCCATCGTGCCGGGCCTGCCTCCTCCTTCGTTTCGTGGATGTGTAAATGACAGCTTCATCGACTTCTTGCCACGGGCTGTGAAGTTCCGGCACCTTGACAGGGGGGTGTTCTTCAATTCCTTCCATGCCATTGAGGGCCAATTCCTGAGCAGGATCGCAAGTAGCCATGTGTGGGCAATAGGGCCGACGGTCCTTTTGCAGAAGAAGCCTCAAGAGCCTCCTCACAAGCTCCATGAATGCATGCAATGGTTGGACAAGCAAGCACCACGGTCCGTTCTGTACGTCTCGTTTGGCACCGTGGTCTCAATGAGTGCAGCAGAGGTGAGGGAGCTAGCACAAGGGTTGGAGGCCAGTGGGCAGCCCTTCCTTTGGGTGCTAAGATACGCCGACAAAGGGGATATATTCGCCGGAAGAGAGGCGGACAGTCCCCGGGGGCTACCAGATGGGTACGAGGAGAGGGTCCAAGGGAGGGGGTTGATAGTGAGGGACTGGGCACCCCAATTGGAGATACTACATCACCCCTCGACAGGCGGGTTCTTGACGCACTGCGGGTGGAACTCGTGCATGGAGAGCATCGCCATGGGAGTTCCAATGGTGGCATGGCCCATGCACTCGGACCAGCCGGTGAATGCACAGCTTGTTACGGGGGTGCTCGGGGTGGGGGTGGCGGTGGGGGAGTGGCACGAGAGGGACGACATTGTTAGGGCAGAGAGTGTGGAGAGGGCGGTGAGGAAGCTGATGGCGTCGGAAGAGGGGGCGGAGATGGGGAGGAAGGCGGCGGAGCTGAGGGACGCCGCCCAACAGGCTGTCGGGGAGGGTGGGACGTCTGGTGCCGCCCTCGATACCTTTCTCGCACTCATCTCTCGGCCATAGATAATGCGTTTACGACGAATAAATGCAGGCTCCTGGAATGGTTAATCTCACATGCTTTAAAAAAGTATTGTTTGTTTTATGCTTTTAGTGGAGCGGATATGGGTCTACGCACGTGTTGGTTCCCTATCCGCAGTCCATGAAAGATCTATTGTTGTTTCGTTGTATGTGCAACTGATAGCTTGGATATTATCACCAAAAAAACAAATATATAAAGTTAGTTATGAAACCTATAAATAGAAACGAAGATTTCTCTGTACTCCCATTTTCTGGCCCCCAATATTTCTAGTTCTCCGTAGTCCCACTTTTTTGGCACCCTATTTCTATCTCTATTTCTGCCGTTATAACATCCCAATCTTTTTTATCCTCCAATCCAATCCAATCCAATCCATCAAGAAACGAAGATTTCTCCGTACTCCCATTTTTTGGCCCCCAATATTTCTATTTCTCCGTAGTCCCACTTTTTTGGCACCCTATTTCTATTTCTATTTCTATTTTTATTTTTATTTCTATTTCTGCCGGTACAAGATCCCAATCTTTTTTATCCTCCAATCCAATCCATCCTTTTAATAGTGTACATTGATCCAAACAAATGGTGAAATGACACCTTTAAGTTCTCTCTTCATCACAAGAACAAGTTGTCCTTTGCAGGAATATGTTAAATTTAGTTTTGTTATTTTACCCAAGCCCAGCTTTTTGTAGTTTTCCGGCCACCCTGTTGCCGAAATTTGGTTGAAATTGCTTTTGTGTGGCCCGCATTTGGTTATATTTTAGCAAACTCGTTGCTTTTATTCAATTTTCCAACCACTACTAGTACCTCGTTTTAGCCATTGGTTCTACTTTTACTTTTGCTATTTTCCAGTGACCCCAATACGCGTTTTTTTTTTCTCTCTCTAGATTCTCTATATTTGTATGTCTTTCATCCAAACCATTGCTTTTGCTATTTTCCTCACACCCCATTAGAAGTCCTCTCTGTATTTCTCTCCATTCATAAATTGTTGCTCTTTTTTGCTCGCCCCATTACACTCTCTCTCTATATAGGTTCTCTCTATCTATCCAGTTTCTCTATATTTCACTATAAACCACCACTTTTTTGCTATTATTGGGCCCCCCATTGCCGGTTTCTTTCTCTCTCTACAGCTCTTATTCCCCTTCTCAAACAATTTGACTACCCAACTTGATTTTATGGAAATTTCAGGCTTCTGGTTCATAATCCATAACTTTTTCCACTAAAACCGACTCCTCCATTGTTTCATCAATCAACCTTTTCTCTCCTTGCCGAAATCTGACTCCGAAAATCTCTTGGTTCAAAATTCCGGCCAACTTTCTAGCAATGGATACCCCTCCCTCTGTTTCTATAGTCTCAAGGGCCATAGTTTTCCCTGATGAGCCTGCAGATTTCAGGAGCATGAAGCTCACGATCTCCGACCTACCGATGCTCTCTCCACTATATCCAAAAGGGCCTACTCTTTTTCCGACCAAAACATTCCGTACCATCAAATAAATGCGGTTACCTACAAAGTTACGCCGGGTAAAATTTGCCTAAAAACCAAAAGAAAACATAAAAAAAATTAAGGAAATGAGGGAATTTTGAAAAATGCATTGGGAAATAGAGGAACAAATTAAAATGACTAAAAAAATGATAAAATTGCAAAGAAATAAAAAAAAAAATACGTGGGCTTAATTGGAATGAAGCCGAACCCACGAGCCAGTACTAGGAAGCCAGGCAATTCAAGTTAAAATAGTCAACGACCCACAAGCCAGTACCAGGCAATTCAAGTTAGAGTAGTCAACGAGCTGATTGTTCTCGTCGTCGGTCAGAGATTGAGGATTGAGCCAGAGACGCTCGCAGTGTTTGGATATGTCGGAGATCTTTGCCTGAGTTGGTGAGGAACTTCTAGGCGCTATAGACCATCGGTAGGCTTAGGAGCATAGGGCTAGGGTTTTGGCATGGTTCAAAAGAATCAGCCCTCCAAATCCAGAGGGGAAAGGGTTGTGTAGGCTTGAGCTCTCATCTATCTCAAGGATGGAGAATAAACTAGTGGGCAAAAGAAATGAGTGAGTATGACCCACGTAAGTTCAATATATTGAGGAAATTTGTTTTATGCGGTTCAGACCCATGTAAGTTCAATATATTGAGGAAATTTGTTTTATGCGGGCTGAACCGCATGATTATATATGCCGTCTAAAAAGGGTAAAACATTCATTTTAAAGATGAATATAGGTGTTTTATTTAAAAATAATAAAAATTAATGGTCTAAATATTTTTTTACTATAATTATTATTTTTAATTTTTAAAATTCATTTAATTTTTCATATTTATGACCTCCATGTTAGAGATTATATGTCTTCAAAAATTAAGTCTAAAAATTCTTCTCAAAAATAGATTTATTTAGGCCAGCATTTCTACATATGAGGGCTTGGCCATGTAAAAACCGGGTCCATATATTTATTTGAGTTGAAAGGGGCGAGAGAGAGAAACGTTGGATCAACGGAAAGGGAGTTTCGTACGAGCCAAATGGCTTTGTAAAGATGGGTTTGATGAGGGATTTTAGGACCCACTAAAATGAGAGTTTCAAAGGGAGTTTTAATATTTAAATTTTAATTTTTATGATTTGTAAGTCAAAAGTGGGCTTATGACTGGGTCAAAGGTGCTTAGGGTGGTTAGGGACTCTTAATCTAGGTTTAAGCTATTTTAAAAGGCGTTATGATATGTTCATGGGCGACTCTAACCTAATTAAATAGGTTTAAGGTGGGGGTAAGTCTATTTGAGAAGATTTAAGTATCTACAAGGCGATTAGGTCAAGGTCCTTATGGCGTAAAGGTCTTTGGTTTCTTGAGATTCCCTCAGGTTGGAATAGGATATCTACAGGATTTACAGTGGATTATATGTGCACCCCAGTGATTAGAAAAATATCGAGCCGAACCGGACTCACCCGGTTCGATTCGGGAATCGACAGTAGACGTCTCGAATCGTTCAAAAAACCGGGAATCACCAGGTTTTAGAGAGAACCGGGCGGTTCTGTACAGTGACTCGCTGATTCATTGTATGGAATCGGCGAGTCCCGTGAAGAACACGGGCTGCACAGTATTTTTCACGGGATTCTTCAAAATTTGTCATTTTTTTATCATTTTTCTTGTTTTTTTTGACATGTGATCTAATATGCAAGCTTTAAACAGCTTTATTCAGCTTTTTCGAGGATTAAATGGTTGAGAAATTTTGTGTTTTTGGATCACGAAAGTTACATTTTTAGGGTTTTCGCCTTTCCTTGTGTTTCATGCCAAATAGGGCATAAATCTGTCAAAATTTGTAGGCATTTTGATCGTAAAGTTGTTCATCAAAACCTTCTGTTACGAATTTGTGATAATCGTTGAGAAAAACAGAGTTATTTGGAGATTGAAGGCTCGGGTTCACAAAACCAGGTAAGAAGTTTGGGTTTTTTTTTTTTCCCGCCATATGATTAATTTCACTGCATATTTTGAAGATAATGAGTTCAATTTGTAGGGTTTTTAATCTTTATTGTGTCTATTATGATTTAACATATTCAATTTTATTTAATTTGGTCAATTACAGCATGAATTTTTAGAAGAACACAGTGATGTCTGTGGAAAAATTTCTGCTGTTTCTTTTTTTTTTTTCCGCCTTTCGATTTTTTGTTCATAATATATTACAAATAATGTGTTAGATTTCTAGCGTTTTTAATCGTTATAGTGTTGTTTATAATTAGATGTATTCAATTTGATCTGATTTATTCAATTTGAGCTTCATTTTTTAGATTCAATGACTGTTGTCTGTGACAAAAGAACTGTGTTTTCTTTTTTTGCTCAATTTAATCGATTTGATTTGAATTATTGATGATAATGAGTTCAAAATTTAGGGTTTTGATTCTTTATTTTGTTGTTTATCAGAAAATGTACTCAATTGGATGTAATTTATTCTCTTAGAGGTGGATTTTTTAGTTAAAATGGCTTATGTAAGATAGGTCTATGAAGAAAAGAATTTTTTTTTTTTTTTTTTTGTAATCCATGATCGAATTTTTTGTAATACATGATCGAAGTTTTTGTAATCCATGATCGATTTTTTTTTTTTTGAATCCATGATCAAATTTTTTGTTTTTTTTTGTAACCCATGATAGAATTTTTTGTAATCCATGATCGAATTTTTTGTAATCCATGATCGAAATGTTTGTTTTTTTTTTTTTGTAATCCATGATCAAATTTTTTGTTTTTGTTTTTTTTGTAACCCATGATAGAGTTTTTTGTAATCCATGATCGAATTTTTTGTAATCCATGATCGAATTGTTTTTTCTTTTTTTGTAATCCATGATCGAATTTTTGTTTTTTTGTAATCCATGATCGAATTTTATATAATCCATGATCGAATTTTTTGTAATCCATGATCGAATTTTTTGTAATCCATGATTGAATTTTTTGAAAATTTGTGATTTTCTTTTTTTAATCCATGATCGAATTTTTTTTTGCAATCCATTATCGAATTTTTTGAAAATTTGTGATTTTTTTTTTAATCCATGATCGAAGTTTTTGAAAATTTATGATTTTTTTTTTTTAATCCATGATCGATTTTTTTGAAAATTTGTGATTTTTTTTTTTTAATCCATGATCAAATTTTTTTTGTAATCAATGATCGAACTTTTTGAAAATTTGTGATTTTTTTTTTTTATCCATGATCGATTTTTTAAAAATTTGTGATT